TGAATAATACGACCTTGTATTAAGAGACCACATTTTGCTCCTTCATCTGTCAGTGGACCCCTGGGCTATTTCCACCTTTTGCTGTTGTGAATAATGCTGCGTTGAATACTGGGGTACAGTTATTTGAGTCATTGCTTTTCATTGTTTTAGTCAAACATAGAATTACCATATGATCCAGCAACTCTACTCCCGTACTTAGGACCGGCTGTGGCACCTTATGCCACAGACTCTGAAAGACCGTTCTGTCCTGTCTGGAGCCTTGTGGATGCTGGGGGTGAGTGGTGATGGGTGCCTGGTACCTTAAGGTAGCACCGTGGCAGGGGATACAGTACCTGCTCCAGGCTGCCCAATCTCCTTGTCCTCCCATGAGACTCCATATAGGGAAAAATAGCAACGGACAGCCAAGTGCCAACTTGTCACTGATGGGTCTGTGTGAAGACACAGTACAGAGCTCTACAGCACAAAGTGGAGTTTGGTGGGGTTCATCACCCCACCTGTATTTTTATACATTCAGCTCCCTCTGACCAAAGAAAGAGTGTATTAGCCCTCCTTAGTTTGAAAGGCAGATGCTCTTTAGAGTCTGGACATCAATTTAAATAACCTCACATCTTGCCAATTCTCTGTCTTTCGTCTGTACTGTGCTCTTTTTTTTTGGAGATGGAGTCTCATTCTCTTCCCACAGGCTGCAGGGCAATGGTGTGATCTCGGCTCACTTGTAGCCTCTGCCTCCTGGGTTCAGGCAATTCTCCTGCCTCAGCCTCCTGAGCAGCTGGGACTACAGGCGTGCACCACCACACCCAGCTAATTTTTGTAGTTTTAGTAGACATAGGGTTTCACCATGTTGGTTAGGCTGGTCTCGAACTCCTAACCTCATGATCCGCCTGCCTCAGCCTCCCAAAGTGTTGGGATTACAGGTGTGAGCCCCCGCCCCTGGCCACTTTCCTTTATCTGTCTGTCTGTCTGTCTGTCTGTCTGTCTGTCTGTCTCTGTCTGTCTGCCTGTCTCTGTCTGTCTGCCTGCCTGCCTGCCTGCCTGCCTGTCTGACGGAGTGTTGCATCTTGCTCTATTGCCCAGGCTGGAGTGCAACCTCAGCTCACTGCAACCTCCGCCTCCCAGGTCCAAGCTATTTTCCTGCCTCAGCTTCCCCAGTAGCTGGGATTACAGGTGTGTGCCACCACACCCAGCTAGTTTTTGTAATTTTAGTAAAGACAGGGTTTCACGATACTGCCCAGGCTAGCCTTGAACTCCTGATCTCAGGCAATCCACCCACCTCGGCTTCCCAAAGTGCTGAGTTTACAGGCATGAGCCACGGTGCCTGGCCTCTGGCTACTTTCCTTACAGTAGTGGTGGGCAGCTGAGAGGTGGGGCAGTGGCTTTGTACAACTGGGAGTCTCACAGTTAAAGTCAGTCTCTTACTCGTCTTTTCACTCTGCTTCTGGCCTGAGTCCAGGGCTCAGTAACTGGCCAGTTAAAGTATGGGAAAGAAATACTGGTCACACCCCTAGCCCCTCCTCCTGCTCCCTGTAACACTGCACCCTCAGGAAGCATCTGTTACCACCCCTCCAGCCCTGCTGTGAGAGCCCTTCAGCAGACATGTGCAGTGTGATTATTGTATCAGGTAGACCTGCGCTAGGGAAATCGGCACAGAATGGCTATTTCATGAGTAACTCACTCATGAGCACTTAATGCACATAACCCAGGATACTGTGTTCACACCAGCTCTGGAGACCAGGAGACTGGCACCAGAGGGCACACGGTCATTCAGAGGCTGGTTGGTATGGTCTTGAGGAGTGCTGCTCCTCACTTGGGTCCTTTATCTCCAGCTGCTGGTGTCCACCTGCCTCTGTCTCCAGAGGGCCTCTGCAAGTGATGAGTGTCCTAGTTCTTAGCTCAGGTCAGGGTTCATATCAAGGAACAAAAGCACTGAGGTGGAGAGTTCAAGACTAGCCTAGCCAACGTAATAAAACCCTATCTTTACTAAAAATACAAAAATTAGCTGGGTGTGGTGGCATGCACCTATAATCCCAGCTACTTGGGAGGCTGAGATAGGAGAATTGCTTGAACCCAGGAGGCAGAGGTTGCCGTGAGCCGAGATTGTGCCTCTGTACTCCAGCCTGGGAGACAGAGTGAGACTCCAACTTAAAAAAAGAAAAGAAAAAGAAAAACATGCTGCAGTTGAGTCTGTTTCTAGCCTTATTGTCTCTTAAATAAATGGTGATGTGTTTCTTTTTGCTCATTTAAAAAATAATATTTGATCGCCTACACTATTCTGTGTTGGAGATTCAATAATGAGGCAGATCAAAGTCCCTTCTTTCCTGGAGCTTATGTTTTAGTAGAGGAGAAAAAACAAACATGTAAGTTAGATCAGATAGCAATAATTGCCATGAAAAAAAAATAGGATAAGAAGATAGGGACTGGGCAAGGAAGAAGATGAAACTCTATGCTTTAGATAGGGAAGAGCTTGTTGGGGAGGTGGCATATAAGCTGAGAGCTGAATGATATTTAGAAATTTGTTTGGCCAGGCATGGTGGCACATGCTTGTCATCTCAGCACTTTGGAAGCCTTTGGCAGGAGGATCGCTTGAGGCCAAAAGTTTGAGACCAGTTTGGGCAACATAGGCCCTATCTCTACACAAATATAAAAACATGAGCTGGGTGTGGCAATGTGTGCCTGGAATCCTACTTACTTGGGAGACTGAGATGAGAGGCTAGGTTGAGCCCAAGAGTTTGAAGCTTTAGTGAGCTAGGATTGCACCCCTGCTCTCCAGCTTGAACAACAGAGAAAGACCCTGTCTCTAAAAGGTTGTGTTTCTTTTTAATTAAATTATTAAAAAATCAGTCTAGACAAAGGAAACAGCAAAAGAAAAGGAATCCATGGAGCAGACAGGAGTCTGACATGTTCCAGGGGAAAACAGAAGTCCAGGAGTGTGAATGGAGCATCGTGAACAAGGGGAAGATTGACGGGTGAGGCAAGGTCAGATGGGTGGTTCTCACTCTAACTGCACATTAGAATTACCTGAGAACCTCAAGTTTCCATAGTGCAAGCCCCACCTCCAGAGATTGTGAATTTAATTGGTCTGGGTGGGGCCTGGGCATGCGTAGTTTATAAAAGCTCCCCAGGGAATTCCACGGTGCAGCGTGAACTGACCCCATCGGTCTTGATCATGCAGGGTTTTACAGACGCTGGTAAGGAGTTGGGACTTTAGATGAATGATGATGGAAAGCCATTGGACAGTTTGGGCTAAGAAAGTAAACTTGTTCTGAACTCTGCTTTTAGGAGGCTCACTTTGGTGACCTCATGGAAAGTGGAGGTAGGAGATTGTTAGAGTGGTCCAGTTGAGAGAGGATGATGGCTTAGAGCAGGGTGGTGTCAGTGGAGATGGTAATAAGAGGTCATTTTGGGGATAAGTTTTGGAGGTTGTGGTCACAAGATGAATTGGATTTAGAATGTCAGGCAAAGGCATAGAAGGTTGCTTCAGAGCTGAACCGAGTAACCGGGTGGATAGAGGTGCCGTTCATGGAGATGGGAGAGATGGGGAAGGAACAGGTTTGAGAATAGGTGGAGTAGTTGTGTGTACTGGTTGGAGTGAAAGCCTTAGGCTGATGTCTCTAGATTTAGGTAATTTACAGATACAGGCAACCAGATGAGGTTGACTAAAATATTCTGAGAAGTCCTGTTCCTGTTGTGCCAAGAGTTTTCTTGAAGTCTTCCAAAGGTAAGTCCCAAAAGCAGTCGACCATGTTAGTACATGGAAGCTGTGGTGAGAAGCATGCTGGAGAGAAGAAGGAAATGGAAGACACTGAGCGACTTTCATGCAGGGTCAGGCTGGACATAGGGGAAGGATGTACTCTGAAGGACTGTATGTGGTCAGTCAGCGTCGGCCCTGCAACAATAATCGAATGGCATGGTGAGATACAGAATCCAAAAATGTGGGTTGCAAAATTTGTATTTGACTCTAAGGGAAGTTTTTTCCCCAATAAAACTGTCTTCTAAGGTACATCTAGGTCACATTATAATTATTTTTTACTTCTCTGACCAGACCCTGGATGTCTAGCAGCAAAGCAATCCAGGGTTTTTGTTTTTGTCTTTTGAGACAGAGTCTTGCTCTGTCGCCAGGCGCCAGGCTGGATTGCAGTGACGAGATCTCAGCTCACTGCAACCTCCACCTCCCGGGTTCAAGCAATTCTCCTGCCTCAGCCTCCCGAGTAGCTGGGACTACAGGCACGCGCCACCATACCCAGCTAATTTTTCTATGTTTTTTCATAGAGACGGGCTTTCACCATATTGGCCAGGATGGTCTCGATCTCTTGACCTCGTGATCCGCCCACCTTGGTCTCCCAAAGTGCTGGAATTACAGGTGTGAGCCACCGTGCCCGGCCAGCAATCCAGGTTTTTAAGTCAAAATCAAATTATTAGTATTGGTTACCTTATGTGGAGAACAGTTTATTTTTTTCCCCCAATAAAAGAACATGGATTAAATTGCAAAGGTAGAGCATATTGGTTCTGTCATAGAAAATCCTGTTTTCAGGCTCATTGAGAGCAAGGACTGTCTCTTGTACAGTTTCTGTTTTTCAAAATACCTAGTGTCTCTGCTCATTCTGAGAATTTTTCTTATATTTAGTAAAGTTACAGGATTTTCCCACAGTTAGTACTTGTCAGAGTGACTGAGCACACAGATTGACCAGAAGCCTCTGCTAGTACCAACAGCGTTTTCTAGACATTTCTTTATTCTTACTAAAGAAACTCAAGATGTGGCTGCTTTGAGTAAAAGACAAGAAAATTCAGAAAATGACCATCATCTGAAACTCCTTAATTAAAAGAAAGAGCTTTGCATTCGCTCCATGCCTTAGAGGCAGTGCCTGTGAGGTCAGGCTGGCTGGTGGTGAACTCTGAAATGTCATGCTCCATTGCCAACCCATTACCTGAATGGGTCCCTCACCATAAGCAAAACAGAGCGTTTGTTGCCCAGCATAACACATTTTGTCTTCATTCACTCGCAGACAACTGCAGTGACCTGAACTCCGAACTGCAGAGGGTGCTGACAGGGCTGGAGAATGTCGTCTGCGGCAGGAAGAAAAGCAGCTGCAGCCTCTCTGTGGCCGAGGTGGACAGGCACATCGAGCAGCTCACCACGGCCAGCGAGCACTGCGACCTGGCGATTAAGGTAGACAGCCCTCACCCTCGGTGAGGCCCTTTGAGGTTCTCTAAGGGAAATGGTCCAGTCCTTCTCTTGATGTGCAGTTTTCTTACATACTTGTTAGGGATGAATGTTTCCTTAACAGCCGTACTATAGATGGGGCCACGGTGTAGGGGGCCCTGTAAATTCTGGTTGGGCTGAATTACTTCAGTAAAAGTCATGATGTCAGTAGTCAGGTTCACTGGCTTTGCAGCAGAAAGGACAATTTACTTGGAAACCATTCGACTGCTAGTATTGAACCATGTTATTTTAGTGTGGTTCATCATAGAGCACTTTTAAGTTGTGAGTTTAGCCTGGAAGTTTTATTAAAGCTATATGGCCTCTAGTATATCATTTCAGAAGTCATCAATTCATGGTGCTAACAAGGAGGAAGGTTCAGGCCTGACTGAGTCATCTGTCCCCAGCACACTTGGAGCTGGGTCTCAGCCACGCCTGTAACGTGTTTTCCTCTTGCTCTTTGAGGAGGTGAGAAGAATTTGTTACATCTCCACAAACTCATTGTGAATGATGGGAAAGTCAAGGCTTATTGAATTCAGAAAAATAGTATCTTTATATTCCTTTGGCATAACTTAGTGGCTTGGGCATAGCAATTCAAATTTAAAAGTCTGAGAGTAGCCCATGCAAAGAGAAAATGCAGGCCCAAGTTTCTATCAGTAGGAATCCTGGCTTGCACAAAAGAACTGTGGTGGTGTCACAAGGTAAACTGTGATGCATGTTTATAACACAGCTGGTTTTCCATCTTTCCTCATCTCAATTGCAAATATGTAGTTGATGTGGTTCAGGGCAGGGAGAAGCAGTTACTGGTGTTTTTTTCTCTGGAATCTCCTGGACCCTATGTTTGATTGTAATGACAACTTAGGTCTAGCCCTAGCCTGGGGTTGAGAGGGAAGGAGGAGGCCAAGGACCTCTACCAACCAGCTAGTGACAAAGCACAGGGTCTGGAGCAAAGCCAAGTAGGATAAGAGTCTTTGGACTGAAAGGAAGGATAAAGCAGCTCATGGGCAAAGGGCAGCCAGATTTGAGAACCAACATGAGCATCCTAGAGAGATGTACCCTTATTTAGTATTTGAGGCCTGCCATTTATTTTTTGTTTCTTTTTGTTTGAGAAAGAGTCTTGCTCTGTCACCCAGGTGGAATGCAGTGGTGCGATCTTAGCTCACTGCAACCTCCACCTCCCAGGTTCAAGCAATTCTCCCTGCCTCAGCCTCCAGAGTAGCTGGGATTACAGGCGCCTGCTACAACGCCTGGCTAATTTTTGTATTTTTAGTAGAGACAGGGTTTCACCATGTTGGTCAGGCTGGTCTTGAACTCCTGACCTTAGGTGATCCACCCGCCTGGGCCTCCCAAAGTGCTGGGATTACAGGCATGAGCCACCGCACCTGGTCAGCCCTCTGTTTCTTACCCCATCTCTTCACTGCTTTCTGCCTCTGCATAGTAATTCTCCCTCTTGTTTCATTATCCACTGGCTTTTGCTTCCTTTTTCAAAGGACAGTAAATGTGAATGAACAGTTTATAAGAGTAAACAGAATGACTTCTTCCTTTTTTTCCTAATATTATGCATGTTTCTTCTCTATTAAATGTTTTTAAACGTATTTTTAAAAACTATGTGCAACTAGGATTTTCCTTTACAGTTCGGAGCTGTGTTAATTAATTAAATCCCTGCTGTCTTAGAAATCTCTACAATGAGCTTCCTCTTTTCTGTGTCAGTGAGGTTTATTTTTTCTTTCACATCTTGGGACTGAACCTCATTCGCACTATCTGAATTTGGATGTGGCACTAAAAGCTGGAAATGGTAATGTGACCTATCTTATTGCTGAGTTGGCATGTGGGAGGCCTATAATTTAGGAAACTTCAAGTTAGATTTTGTATGCAGTTTACAACCTCATGTTTGTCCTCGCATTACCAGGATCACTAAATGGCCTTCTGCCTGGTTGTGTGTATCCACCAACTCTGGAACTCAAGTGAAGGAAATAAGCATTGTGTGGATGTGTCAGCTAGCACCACAGATAGACTCAGCCGCCAGGAGAGGGCTCACTGCTTTTCTTACTCTGAAGGGTGCTGGGTAACACAGACTGTACCCCAGGCAGGTGACAGAGCCTCCTCTGAAATTGGGGACAGGATAACTTTGGGGTGGTCCCTAGTCATGATCACTATTTATAACAAAATGGTTCTAGATATCCACACTCCTCTGTGGACGTTTACTCCTGTTTGGACTGTTTGCTTCCCATCCCCTTTCTTCAAGGTAACTTACTTGACTTTTCTTTGGGGCTGTGTTTTACAGACAGTCGAGGAGATTGAGGGGGTGCTTGGCCGGGACCTGTATCCCAACCTGGCTGAAGAGAGGTCTCGGTGGGAGAAGGAGCTTGCTGGACTGAGGGAAGAGAATGAGAGCCTGACCGCCATGCTGTGCAGCAAAGAGGAAGAACTGAACCGGACCAAGGCCACGATGAATGCAATCCGGGAGGAGCGGGACCGGCTCCGGAGGAGGGTGAGCGTGCTGCATCCAGCGTGGCCAGGCCCTTCCCAGGCATGGGGCTGAGAGAGGCTGGTGTGTAGCACCAGGGGCACCATGTTTTTGTGGCATTTGTAATCTTGGGAACCACCATCTCTTTCTTGTTATGAAGTCCTTCTTAAAAGAAAAGTAGTTTGAAATTGCTAAGGTGTAGAGGTAGGATTTTTTTTTTTTTTTGTTCGAGACGGAGTTTTGCTCTTGTTACCCACGCTGGAGTGCAATGGCGTGATCTCAGCTCACCGCAACCTCTGCCTCCTGGGTTCAGGCAATTCTCCTGCCTCAGCCTCCTGAGTAGCTGGAATTACAGGCACAAGCCACCATGCCCAGCTAATTTTTTGTATTTTTAGTAGAGACGGGGTTTCACCATGTTGACCAGGATGGTCTCGATCTCTTGACCTCGTGATCCACCCACCTTGGCCTCCCAAAATGCTGGGATTACAGGCTTGAGCCACCGCGCCCGGCCAGAGGTAAGATTTTTTTTAAAAAAACACTTTTCTCTGGAATCTTAAATCTGACTGGTGGGTAAAATTACGTTGGGGCAATGATTCTCAACTCTCCAGGGTAAGCACATCTTTTCTACTTTTCTAAGCTCAATTAAAATGTTCTTCTTTTTTTTTTTTTTTTCTTTGAGACGGAGTTTCGCTCTTGTTACCCAGGCTGGAGTGCAATGGCACGATCTCGGCTCACCACAACCTCCGCCTCCTGGGTTCAGGCAATTCTCCTGCCTCAGCCTCCTGAGTAGCTGGGATTACAGGCACGCACCACCATGCCCAGCTAATTTTTGTATTTTTAGTAGAGACCGGGTTTCGCCATGTTGACCAGGATGGTCTCAGTCTCTTGACCTTGTGATCCACCAGCCTCGGCCTCTCAAAGTGCTGGGATTATAGGCGTGAGCCACCGCGCCCGGCCTGCAATGTTCTTCTATAGGATAAACTAATAGTATTTTTAGAATTTGAAAAAGAAATGTGGAATATTCCCCTTCTAACGTTTTCTATAAAATTCTATTGAGCTTTATAGCACCTGCTCTCATTTACTTAGAGCGAATCTAGGGTACAATGTCATCTCTTCTGGTGCAGATAAGAAGTTAAGATCACCATGTCTTGTACATTGTGTGCATGTATGTATGTGTGTATATGCATCTGTTTAATGTAAGTATGCGTATTATGTGTCTGTCTCTATGTTTGCAGATGTGTATGTGTGATTCCTGCTGTTCACCTAGGGCCTGAACTAGTTTGAGTATCATTTTGTTTAGGACATATATCCATTACTGAAAGAGCTTATGTTTCAGGATAGAAATGCTTGGCAGAATTGTTAAAAGCCTTAAATTTATCCAAGATGGAGTCTTAAATCCCAGGAACCCACAAGCACTTCTGTATTTGGCTGGGAGTTTGATCTGTGATTGGACTGGGGGCGAAGCAGTGAATTCTTCAACCAGACAATTCCCTCTGAACTTCACTTTGAATTACTTGATTTGCTTTACTCTCTTTCTCTCGGTCTTCGCAATATTAGAAGCTTGTTTTCTGGTTGTGCTCTGACTGGTAATTTTGCATACAGATAAAGTTGACTTAGAAGGGGAGAAATACATCTAGTGGGTCTCATCATCCTTCACCCTTGCTCTTGCTCCTTTAGCCATAAAAAATACCTTGTAAATAACTTGGCCTTCTAGTCTTCAACAAGATCAGCATATGTATATATTTTTGTTTTTAATCCACATGTAAGTATTCTTAGTTGCCATTATGTAAAAATGTAGAAGAAATTACCATTTTTGAATGTTGTAAACTCTTCCTCATTTAAAAAATGTGGAAGAAATTACTATTTTTGAATGTTATCAACACTTCTTCATTTGTGCTAATGTCATAATTAAAAGGCTGGCACTGCTGCATCTCATCTGAGCACCATTTTGTCTTAACTCACGTGCATAAGCATCTTTTCAGTATACAGCTATATCAGATGCCAGTCTCCATACTTGCATCAGCAGGTGTAAATCATCCCAGTCAGCAAAGGCTTTATTTGGGCAACATGATGAAATCTGCTTAGCACTAAAGCCTACGCCACCTGTAATTTCCTGAGTTACACTCCCCAGTGATTATAACTGATGCCCTAATTAGGTATGTACTTGCTCTTAGCATGTGCATTCTGATGGTGCATGTTTTGTGAGGGAAATTGTTGGTCTTAGGTGTAATTACATACTGTGGTATAGAATGAATTTTCTCCTCTCACTTGCCAGCCCTTGATTGTGGACTAGCAAGCAATAAAAGTCCCCCTCCTGACTTTCAAATGTGTTTTCCAACTCTGGAGATCAGTATTAAGAATAGCGCAGTGTGAAGGTACCACACTAGGTACCTGGGCTCTGGGGCCAGACTGCCTGGGTCATGCATAGCCTTACCTGCCAAGTCACCACGAGTCTTTGGAAAGTGCCTAACCTCTCTGTGCCTCAGTTTACTCTGCCACAAAGTGGAACAATAATAGCACCCAAAGCAAACATTAGATGACATTCAAAAAGTTGTTAGGCGATGTCTGGCACATAGTAAATGCTCAGAAAATTAGTAGTAGTTCTTTGTAGTAAAATCTAGAGTTACCTGTTGAGTGACATGCAAAGTTGAACGCCATCCTGTTGTTTTTTCATGGGAATCCTTAGATGTTGAAGAACTCTAACATGGACATTGGATATTCACATGCATACACATACAAGCCTGCACACATACACACATTTTAGTCAAAACCTTTCTTCCAATCACATCTATTACCTTTTTAAGTTTGTGCAACTAGTATAGTTTTATATAACTTTTATTTCAGTTACCTTCAAATAATGTTGAGTAACTTTTATCTCTTCCTCGACTAGAGATGTTCTCAGGAATTTATATACATACCATGAATTGGATTTATTTCTTTTTATTTCAAGATGAGTGTGGATCTCTAAAAGTTCCTAGATGCGTTTCAATGCCTGTTTACTAGACATTATGTGACGGAAGCCTTCTTCCAGCCACCAACCATCCACCCACCTAGTATACATTATTTCCCTCTGGAAGGATCTTTCCTTCGTAGTTGTCACTGTCTTCTGTTCTTCATGATGTGGTGCTCTGCAGAGCGACTGAGGTACCATTTTATTTTTATCCTTGTGACAGAAGAGTACAAGACTGGTTTGCCTTTGCCATCTTTTTAGCAGCTGTGAATCCACGTTTCATCAAAGTTCCCTGACAAGCAATTGGAGCCAGTTTTTTTTTTTCTTTGTTCTCATTCATTGTATGGAATTTTAACTGACCAGATCGATAGGATTGGTGCTTGAACCCTGCCTGTAATTAAGCAAAGTGCTCTCTGTAGGTCTTCTGAGCTTTGTTCAAGATTTAATTAAATTAGATCTTTAATGTAGTCAGTTAACAAATTGGGCTAGTGGCAGAGCAGTAACTAAGGAACAACAGGCAATTTTATTATTGGTCCTAGTTCATTATTGAATGAGGCAATCATTTATTTCTATATTCTCTGTAACATAACCATGTATTTCCTCACACTTAAAGAAGTGGGCTTAATGTAGGCAAGGTAGAATTAATTACTCTAGAAAGGAAGCACTTTATTCTTCCTTCCTTCCTTCATTCATTCATTCATTCACTTCATAAGCATGGTTGGTCATCTCTGTGCCAGGCAAAGGGGTTACAGTGATATACGGGACACAGTCCCTGACCTCAAGGATGCTGGGGAGACAGGCAAGTAAACAGATCACTGGAAAGGTATATGTCAAGTGGTGGGGACAGGTAAAAACAGAGAATGCCCCGAGAGCTCCCCAGAGAGTCATGTGTTGACAAGGACCACTTTCTCCACATTGTATGTATTTTTTAAGCTAAATCGTGTAAGTCAGCCACAATGTGGCAAAAATAATCAGTGCTTTCCTCGGTGTGTTTGGCAAAGCAAGCTCGATGTGACCACAGGCGCATGAAACACATGAAACTGTGTCCCGTTGAATCATAGACTTGAACACAAATCAGCCACGTAAGTTCCTTCTGAGATTTTGTAGAAATTCTTCAGAAAGTTCTGCTTGTTCACGTCATAAGGTGGTGTTGACAACTTCTTCCTTATGCACTGTACTCTATCTACCTGGTTATTTTCTGCATATCTAGGAAGGAGTTCCATCTGTCTGTCCTGCATTTCTTTCACCCTGGGGGTCTGGCTTCTGGTTTCATTGCCACAGTAAATTCAAGAGACAAGTGGACATGCTGTTTTGAACCAAATAAAAGTCACCCTTGGCCAGGTACAGTGGCTCGCACTTATAATTCCAACACTCTGGGAGGCTGAGGCAGGAGGATCGCTTGAGCCCTGGAGTTTGAGACTAGCCTGGAAGTATAACTGTTGTGATCTTATGGAGGTTCAATAAAGATTCATCTGTGTTCTCCCTCCAATTGTTTTTAGCCTCATTTGGCCATGATCCCATATGAGCTGGTGCCACTCTATTTCCTCTGTGTGCTGCTTTTCTTGACCACAGGGCTATATATAGAAAATGCAGACTATGAAATAGTACTTTATATTTATTATGAATATATAGCTGTATAAATTTCCATTTTCCATATATTTCTATGTGTGTATATAAAAATATTGAAAATAGACCAGAAAAATACAAACCAATATCACAATGATAATATGTTGTGTAGGTCTCAAAGGGACCTTAAACTTCTCTATAATATTCTAATTTATTTTTTAGGTGAATGTATTCATATCATTGTATGATTTTTAATATGCAAAAGTATATGCATTGAAATAGAGAGGACACTAATATGCTAAAATCTTAACAGAGGTTAAATCTGGGCAGTGAAGGTATGCGATTCCTTTTTTTTTCTTTGTCCTCTTTGATTTTTAAATTAAGCATAAAACAAAAAGTATGGATTATAGAAAATGATCTGTATCTCACAGCTTTTGATGGTTTGATTTCACATATAAACTGAGTCTTCTTTTTGTCCTTTATGGAACTTTGTTCATTTCTTATTTGT